TTCCCCAGTTGCTGCAACGAGGACAGTGACATTTCACCGCTTAAGCACACAAGGATTCGCAAGGGATCTTCACCAATATGAAGCAACTTTAAGGATATAGAAGGATAAAGACCAAGGAAACCTCGGCAGTTCAAACAACCCCCGGCAGTTCATGTTGATGTACCCTCTGGTTATGTCAAAATAGCTATTGAAAATAACCCATTTATAGTGGATTTACCCATTGAAAATGGTGTTTTCTATAGTTTTTTGTATGTTTACCAGAGGGTACATATCCTATCTTTTTGAAGACCGCTGTGTTTCATCTCATGTCCCTCGTTGAAACTCCGAGCATTCCCGCTGCCACCAAAGAGCCTCTCCACGCTCTGTGATACCTTGGTGAACAGTGATCTGTGGAGACCTGTGGATACTTCCCATATCCAAAAACGACCAAAAAATGACGATTCCACCCGGCAAAAGTTCTAACTGCTTGCTGGTTGAGCCTACCCCTCTAAAAAATGATGGAGTTAAAGTCAGTTGGGATGATTATTCCATTCCCAAAATGATGGGAAAGTCATACAGTAATCCAGCCATGTTCCAGTCACCACCAACCAGTCATTACCAGTTTTCCTCATCACCATTAACCAACATCATTAACCATCATTATCCATGATTAACCATCATTAACCATTATGAGCTATAGACACTATGAGCTATAAACATCCATAAAAACAGTAGTTGACGTGTTGACGTTTATGGATTTTCCCATCATTTTCCCATCATTTTCCCATGATTTTCCAGGAAGATTTCCAACCAGTCATTAATCACCATGGATTTTTCCATAAGATCCAGTGGTTTCCATCATGTTTTTCCAGCAACAGTGATCACCAACCAAACCAGTTGAATTGGTATAATATATATATATTATATATATATATGTATATTGATCATTTACACCCATATCCATTTCTTGTATATTATATAGATACATCCCATTCCTCATGGGTAAGAACAGTTGAGATAATTTCTTGTGTATATTATCTTGGACTGTAGGTTGTATTGTATATATATATATATACACTATAATATATATATATACAATACAACCTACAGTCCAAGATTTTCCGGCACAACAGCGCCGTTTGTTCCTTCCACCCCGATTTTTAAGGCGGGCACCCACACGATCCGCGGAGGAAGCCTCATGATTTTAACCCGGAAGTGACTGGTTGGCAGATTTCATCCATTTCATCCTACAATGTGAGGCCCCCGTTCGATAGCTAAGTTGGTTTATAACTCCAATAACTATGGTTTATGGTACTTATAACTTATAACTATATAGTTACTGGGGCTTATAAACCAACTTATAACTGGGGGGCCTCACATTGTACCAAAAAACGAGCGAATCACGTTTGGAAGTGACTGGAAATCATTAGAGATTCCATTGGCTACTACCTGGCTTCAAGTGAAAAATGGGCTTTTATCAAAGATGATGAGGTAAACCCATGTCTTCAAATGCTACGTAGGTTTAATCGAACCGAATGGTCAAGTCTGTTCTGGTCTACTGGTCTAGCTTTTCAATTTACAAAATCACTTTACAACTAGCTTGGAGAGATAGTACCTCGAGCAACGGACTCTGTCCACCCAAGGTGTGGTTCCATTAAAGCCAGCCTCTTGCATTTCACCAACAGTTCAGGTCATTTATATACCATGAGCTAGAAAACACCTAGGAGCACTGCTTCCCTAATTTTGTTGATGATCTTCCTCCTCTTCTTCTTCTTCTTCTTTTTCTTCTTCGATTTTTGCTGTGAAACAGGGTTTCCCTAGCTTTTAATATATGTTTTAATATGGTTTAATCCATAGCATTCCACGTTTAGTTCTGGATATCATTGATATTTTTCATCTGACCTCCATTCCTACGGACCCCTTGGCCCCTGGTTGGATTCCTACATGGTTGGCCCAAAAAACGACACGCTGCCAGCATGTCATGTGACCAATCTGGCCTCCATCGGCGGAAAGATCTGCGACCTCATGATTTTTTGGCTGCGGATTCACATGGAGAAAACTATGAATTGGATGGCCTAGAAAAGATAAAATAACTATACTTATATATATATATGGTGAATCCTGTAGATTAAATATGGATAATTATATAATTGTCATGGAACATTATAATCAGGTGATGGCTTAAGATAATTCACATTGTATAAAAAGTGATGGGTTCTGGCTCATTGAGAAAAGTAGTTCCTTCTCCAAAATATAAAATAGAGCCCAATCCAAACCCTGATCCTGGTTGAGTATTGGACCTATTGATGAATTGTGGTCCCAAACATTAGGGTTACCCTCTGGTAAACATACAAAAAACTATGGAAATCACCATTGTTTATGGGTAAAACAACTATTTCAATGGGCCATTTTCACTAGTTATGTTAGTTTATAGTCGGAGAATAGTCACAGTCTCCAAGGAGTTTCCCCTTTCTGCCAAGCTTATTGGATGGCAGCTCGATGGGACCTTTGTTTCGTCATATTGGCGGATACACCTTTTTCAAACCTTGGACGCCTTTTGAATCTCATCTGTCTCGAAAATCATGTTCACCATTCATCCATTAGAAATTGCTGAATTTTGAGACATTGGCAGCCCCTTTTTGGTTTTTTGCACCGCAAAAACTGCATCCAAACTTTGAAAAAATCATGGATCAGTCCATGAAGGATTTCCATCTCCGCCAAATGACTGGAGGATCTCTTCTGCAAAGGAGCTCCACATATTTCGAGCCATTTTAGCGGCAGATGACTGGAGAGTCCTGTGACCCCTCAGAAAGGAAACAAGCAGGACCTGTCTCATTTTATGCAGAGAAAACATGGCATATCACAATTCATCGGGGCGACTGCTAAAAATCTGCCGAACAAATATCGTTTGTTCATCGATGATCTTAGATGATATCAAGGAACATGCCTGGAAACACTAAGCAATCCATCTGATTCAACAGTTACACATACGCCAGAGATGGGTGGTGAAATATCTGTTTTGAGCCTCAACTGGGCACATCCTGGGATCTTCCGGTGTCATGGCTGGAAAATCCTCCATTAGGGGACTATCCGACTATCCCATAAGCACCATCTTTTTGAGGGATTTCCAATTACGTTTGATTACCAGAGTCTATGGGACATTTACCAAACCCTGTCAAAACAGTGGCAGGGGCATCTTTTTCGAGACTAGCAAAGCTACTGACCGGCTGGGCAGACTGAAGGCAGCGTAATTTTGGGATCACAAGCAAACAAGTGAGACGCTGATTATATCATATGTGGGCTATAATCATGGGGATATCTAATGGCACACTCATGATACTCGATGGGAATGGGAAATCGCCAACAATTTGATATATATATAATATATATATGTAATATGTATATATATAGTTAAAATTTTAATCATATGTATGTCGTATAATGTCGTATAGTCATGCATCCCATGCCGGAATCCAAGCAGAATGTTCATACATAAATCCGGATAAATCTGAAACTCGATGACTACCCCCGAACATGGCAAAAAAAACCAATTCAATGGATTGGTTTAAGGGAAAATTGAAACCGGAACCCCCCATATTTAATGGGAAAATCTATGGTTTCCGGTTAAGATTATCCCTTAAATCAATCCATTGACCAATCCAACAAAGTTGACCTTGGCAGATGTAACCAGGGAATTCATATCGCTGGATGAGTTTTCGAAAAAACATCACTGGAAATCCATGGATTTTCCAATTCACTTTCCCATTTTCCCCATGAAATAGAGGGCTTTCCATGCGTTTCCAGTGAATTTTCCTGGCTTGTTGAATCTGATGATGAAGTCTTTGTATTGTTTGGGGCTGATTCAGAACTCCCAAGGGCTTGTTTGAACATGTTCAATGTTGAGGGGTGCCACAAAGTTCTTCGTCATTTGTCACTTTTTTGCTTTTCATTTGTTTTTCTTTAAACTATGCTATCCAAATCTGGTTGGTGGTATACCTACCCCTCTGAAAAAAAAATGAGTTCGTCAGTTGGGATTATTCTTCCCAATATGGAAAAATAAAAGCCATGTTCGAAACCACCAACCAGTCATTAATCACCATTAACCAACATCATTAACCATTATTATCCATGATTAACAATCATTAACCATTATCAGCTATCCAAATGTTTGTGTTTGAAAAGGTATAAGTCAAAACACATATGTCCCCTCAGGATGAATCATACCAACCCAACGGTTCAAAAAAAATCGGGATGATTCCCCCAATTTGAACTATGTCAAAATGGTGACATCGCATTGAGGTCATTATCATTCGTCAAACTATGTCAACATTAATTATCAACCATCAATTCCGTCAAATCATGGTTATAATGTTATATATATATACCCCTTATATCCCCATTCTATCAATCATATATATATATTATATAATCTCATCTCTGCCATGATCTGGTAAACCTCCATTCTTCTGGGTCCGTGTGCAGCCCCAAACTTAGAACTTCTGTCCAGCCGTCAACACGCTTGGGCCCGTGGCGGTAACCACACCCTGACGTGAAATCGTGACACATCGGCAATTTCCGACGTGGTGCAGCGAACCTGTTCATCCCAAATTTCGGATGCTCAAAAAACCAATATGGCAGTGGGTCAAAACCTTGTACCCCTGTAGTTCACATCAAAATAGCTGGTAAATGGATGTTCATCCCTCTAAAAATGGTATTAATAGGTATTGACTCATAGCCATATAGATCAATAAGATCAATATACTTAAACAGTTCAATCACAGATATCAATCGTGTTACCCTCTGGTTATGACTAACATAGCCATGGAAAGATCCACCCATTTTTAAGAACGGTAAACCATCTATAAATCGATTAGGGCCATCGAAAAACCATGGCGAACTGTGAATGTCATAACCAGATGGTAAATCCCACTATATCCCCTATAAATCCCGATAAATCACCATTAAATCACCATAAATCACCATTAAACCACCATTTTTCAGAATTTCCCCCAGTTCTTGGTGACACAAAAAATTCCCAGCGGGCGCTTGGGCAGGTTCCACAGGTTCCCATCGCATCTCTCAGCGGTTGTGGACCGTGGCGACCAGCATGAAGGCCTTTAGCCGCTTTCGCCAGACCCAGGGCATGGCTGGTGAACAGAACGGCTGGTGAAAACCTGGTGGTTGATGGAGGAGATAGAGAACTAGTGAATGGGATGAAACATGATGAAACTAGGCCAACTAATAACTAAGGTCGCCTTTTCTACCAGGAAAAACACGGCTAGTGGTTTAAGGATGAACACTTACCATAAGAAAAAGGTGGTTTCTTGTCTTTCACCATGTTTCAACCAAATAAACATGCACGCTCCGAGGATGTTTGCCCACCACTTATCGTCATAAGCGGTATATATCATTGGATTGGTTCACAGGAAAAATTACAGGAAACCCCCATATTAAATGGTAAAAACTATGGCTTCCTGTAGATTTTCCTTTAAACCAATCCAAAAAATATAGCTTCATGGAGGATTTGAAAAAAAAAACATCTTTGACTGCTCAGTTATTTCCTCACTGACTGACAGTTATCTTATCACCAATCAGTTCCAATTTATTGGTTACCCTCTTGTTATTTAACATAGCCATGGAAAGATCCACCCATTTTTAAGAACGGTAAACCATCTATAAATGGGCCATGTTCCATGGCTATGTAACAAATAACCAGAGGGTAGATCTGTTGGATCGGTTAGATACTCAGTATCTCATGTGGTTGATGAAACTATACTGGTGGGTAGTATACCTATCCCTCTGAAAAATGATGGAGTTCGTCAGTCGGGATGATGAAATTCCCAATATATGGAAAGTCATAATCCAGCCATGTTCCAAACCACCAACCAGTCATTAATCACCATTAACCAACATCGTTCTTAACCATCATTAACCATCATTAACCATCAATAACCATCATTAATCACCATGTTCCAAACCACCAATCAGAATAATTATAGATATATTAAGTCCCATTAAGCCTTAAAGCCATATTAGCCAGTTAATCATCATCATTAACCATAAAAACCAGATCATGGCTTGGGAATTATCCATAATCATAATCCAATCAGAAACACCAGTATATTTGTTGGTTAAACCACCAAGAATATCTCGTGGCCGCATCCCCCCCAAAAATGCGAAAAAGCCGATTTCGCGCCGCCTGATTCACCCCGAGGTACGGCAAGACCAGGGTCAACCTATGAAGAACGTGATGAACAACCGGTGGGTTAATAGGCCCGATCTGAAAAAACCACAGATACAGATTGATACAATATAGCAATATATATCAATATATATATATAATATGTATATGTATATTATATGTATATATATATATATGATATATAGATATATACAATATGGAGAGAGGGAAAATATGGGAAAATCATTTAAAGTGGAAGCCTGGTACCCAGCCAGTGTTGGGATAGGTGTACAACTACAGTACAAAAAATGACATGATTTGACAATGTTTGACAATCATTCCCCCATGCACCATGCATGGTTTACGTTAGGCAACCATGAAGCCACCAACGATTACTATCCTCACCACAGAATCCCATGAACACGCCATGGAAACATCCCATGAAATCACCATGACAATTCATCATTTCATCCCAATATCCCATGAACATTCAATGAATATCCCACCAAAATATCACCGTTTTATTGTCATGTTAAAAGCTTACTCTAGAGTAAACTAACATAGGTGTGGAACATCAACCATGGACGAGTTTCCTCAGGTTTCCCCATGGGTTTTAACCCTAGAGTAATCCCATCATTATGCCTCCATTGTCCATCATTATCCCATAGTTTCAGTATATTCTCCCATTCTATTCCATCTATAGCCATATAATACCACATGTTTATGTTCATTAAATAATATCCCATATATGTATCTGGGTAAATTATCATATTTCGCAAATCTGAATTAAGGCCATTTGGGGATGATTCCCCTTACTAACTATGATTACAGTGAGGTCACAGTGCGGTCGTTATAATTTACCCAGATATATATATATACACATATGTATATATAATATAATATATATATATGTATATATATGTATGTATATGTATATATATATATGATAGGTTTATGTTAGGCCCAACCGCCACAGCGCTGTGAGTTCACTCGCCGCAGATCCAGCGCTGTCGTCCAAGCTGCAGTGGCATTGCAATCATCCACGCAGGCCCCAGCCATTTCAAGAAGCCTGTGACCTTCGAGGACGCCCATGGTCCCATCGAAGATCTGCTTGCATGGAAATCTATGTGGAAAAAGATGAGAAATACATGGGACATATAGTGAATAGAATGGAACATATGTCTGGAATATGGGAATATCATCAATATATCATCAATATATCATCAATATAATCCCTTCCTCCTACCCTCCCGTGTCATCAAAGGTGGCTGGGAAATCCCCGAACTCGATGAGGGTTTAGTTCGCTGGGAAAATCATCCAACCAAATATTCTCCAGCAGGTCTTTGATTGCCGCAGGGTAATCTTAAAGAAGGGGGATACATATTATATATATATGATTATGTATATATGATTATATATATATATACATACATATGATTATGTATGAATAATGAAAAACAAATCATAACAAACCAAAGATTAGAATCAATTTCTCATGATATATGTGCTGTAAAACTGACGATCCACCCAATATCTTTGATTTCTAGAGGGTAACCCAATAACAGGGGACACCCATGAGCTTTTTTGGGATGATCCAAGCATCAGCCGCATCACAGCCAGCCACCAAGCTACGAAGTCATTCAAAATGAGATCGTGCAATAGGAGCTCCCACCAGCCTAATGTGGTGAAGGCCTCGCTCAAAAGGCTGATGTCGAAAATGTCGAAAATAAAATGGGCAAGCTACAGATTGACTGCTTAAAATGGGCGGTTTCAACAACTAGAATAGGGATTTAACATGATTTCACCAGCAAAAAAATGGATTTAGGGGGGCACTGGAAATCAGAAATCAAACATGGCTACTTATTTGGAAAATCTATGAAAATCCTACATGTTCTTGGAACATATGTGGAAGAATCCATTGCCTTAAATTACTGGAAGGCATCAACAATGTCCTGGGAGATGTGTAAGAATACACGCAGCTACTGGCGACGATTTTCATTGCTGATAACCACTCGATTGTGAAGATAAAGGAAACAAGATGAGCCAACTTTATCACAATGATGATTTCCCAGTTGAACACTGAAACCACCATTGAAACTGGTTTGTTTGGATAAACATTTCAAACACGTTGAACAACTGTGGCTCACAGTGTCAAAGTGCATTGAACCCGCATCACCTTTCATCAATGGTAATTTCAGGATGCTAAAATGGAGGTACGTTAGTACCATATTTCTGGCCATATTTTGTGGGGATATTACCTGAAATTTAGGCCTAAGACATAGGCCTTATATATGGTAGGTACCTCCAATTTAGGATCCTGAAATTCCCATTGACCGTTCAACAGGTGATGTTTTTGAAGGGGAATCATTGAGATCATAATTCGAGTTGTGCCAGTTGTTGATGCGCGTGTTAAACCAAGGCAAATTCACCAGCTAGTATGTGGTTGGGAAACTCTTGGTAGCTCCAAATCGCTCCCCATTTAATAGGGAATATGAATACCCATAGCTCCTTTGCTCCCTCCTAACCACTGGATAGCCAGCAAATCTTCTTGTCAACTATTGAGTTCTATACAAAAAATCATCTCACTATTTGTTTTGTTACACCTTTATGTTTGTTGGACAAGATGGTCAAAATCCCTTCAAGAATTGGCTACAAATGCAACGTATGAATATGAACCTTAAACATGTCCCCAAACAGGTGGTGAACACCCAGAAAATCATCAAGCTTCATCGAAATTCCATGGATTAACCTAAATTGGAGGTACCGATTCCATATATTTTAGGCCTATATATATTAGGCCGATAATTCAGGGAATATCACAAAATATGGCCAGAAATATGGTACTAACTTTACGTACCTCCATTTGCTCTTTCCGGTCTTTCTTAAGCGTTTCTTCTCCGTGCGGCCTGGTACCAAGACATGGAATTCGCCAGCTCAGGTGTCATGGTGGTCTCGCCGACCCAGAGATAAGCACCTCTCGTTGGCCCAGTCGGCCACATGTTTTTTTTTTTCCGACAGCACATGATGGTTAATATGTGGTTATAATATACTGTTAATAGTGGTTAATATATGGTTATTATATGGTTAATGATGGTTAATAACAATGACTGGTTGGTGGTATACCTACCAACCCCTCTGAAAAATGATGGAGTGCAAGTCAGTTGGGATGATGACATTCCTAATATATGGAAAAATAAAACAATATGTCAGCCTATCTTAAATTATGTTGCTAACATCTTTAGATGATCATCCGATAAACAAAAAGAAGTGATCTAACCACACGTCATCAATGTGTTCATGTTTAGATATGTTCAAAAAAATATGATGTCACCGGCCAGCCACCACATGTCACTGCGGAATCTGATCATTTTCAAACGCTGCAAACCCAAACGGTTTGCCCGCGGCGAATCCCAAAAATATCCTTTGACATGCTCAAATCCCTGCGTAGGGTTTAAGTTGTTTACTTTCCAAAACAACAAACCCTAAAACCCTAAAACCTAAATTGAAACCCTAAATCCTGAAAACTTAAAGTCAAAATCACTGCGTATAGCATCGTACAGCCAGTGTTTTCATTCATCTTCTGGTGATAAGTATATTGTTTGGATGTGTTGTTTGAGTGTGGGCGAACCCGGGGTTTGGAGGGAACATGTTTCAATTTGCAACCAGCAAAACTTAGAAATCAATATCAACAAAAACGATCAGTGCAGGCTCTTCAAAGTCGTCCTAAAAGAAACAACCCGACCCAAATATGTTTCTTTCTTTTAACACCTCTAGCAAAACTTCCCAAGCGATCCCAAGCGCACTTCATTGTGAATTTGAAAAATCCTGGAGATTCATAGAGCAAACGTCCCCAGCATAAACACTATCCAGCCAGGAGAAGTCTTGACGATGATCCCTGGCTGTTTCGTTGCCAAATTTTGCTGGTCAAACTCTGTTGAGGTTAGACATGAATCCATAGCTGGTCAGGAAATGGTTTCGAAAAAAATGAATCCCTACTTTGGTGGGATATTCCATCCATTCCCATTTTGATCGGTGCAATTTCCGTTTCGGATTTGGATTCAAACTTCCCAGATTCTTTGGTGGAATGCCCGGAATTCGGTCGCTCTAAAAAGTCATCAAAGTATATAAATCATATCGTCAAAATCATTTTTCATATGATGATTGCAGATAAATCATATACCAAAATCATATAAATCATATCATATCATGATTTTTAAAAATAAACAATTCAAATCATATGTTCAAGCATATAATGATTGCATATAAACGAATCATACCAAATCCACTTTGCTTCCTAGAAAAAAAATATGTCCATGACTTTCCAGGGAAAACATTTTTTTCCCCCATGGTTTCCCTTTCAAAGAAAGCTATGACCGTACAGGGCGCAAGGGTGAAGGACATCCAGCGCGATCACGGTGATGATGATCAGCGAGGTGAGGCCACCTGCGACAACGAAGACGTGATCCAATGGAGGATTCTGTGATAAATGGTGGATATCTAAAATAATATCTATAATAATCTACAATATCTATAATATCTATAATAATCTACAATATCTATAATATCTGTAATATCTATAGTCTATCTGTAACATGTGTAATATGTATAATATCTATAACTGTCTATAACCCATTATCCAATTGTATAATATCCGTTTTTTTTTGCCAAAACCTCTAGCTTGGTCAACGCAATATCCGTAATGGATATAATTATTAATGGTTACAACATAATTATTTGATATGATATTGGATGACATGTAGAATGAATTATGTGGATTGTGTGGATTACTCTATACTGATCATCCAGCAGCAATCGCATATTGATCACAACATTTCCATAATCAAGAAATAACTGGTTGGTGGTATACCTACCCCTCTGAAAAATATGAAAGTCAGTTGCGATTATTATTCCCAATATATAAAAAAAAACATGTTCCAAACCACCAACCAGACAACATTTCCATAATCAAGAAATAATCAAACAATAACGCGTTATAACTGCATTGCTGGACACTATGGGTCCAAATTGGGTAGCCCTAAAAAATAATGGTTAAACATGCTCAATACTAAAATATACCCTCTGGTAATTTAACATAGCTATTGAAAATGGCCATTTATAGTGAGTTTTCCCATTAAAAATGGTGATTTTCCATAGTTATGTTAGTTTACCAGAGGGTACTAAAATCAGTGGTCCCCCGAATCTTGATGTTTGACCTCTCCCCACATGTGAGCAGAAGAGTATGTATGGGTATGACATAGGACTTGTCATGGCCATATAAGGAAATACATTGCGTGTTATTATCTGTGCAATTGATATATCTTTGATTGTGCAAATGTTGTAATCAGTATATGGATATATCAATTCTATGGGATATATCAATTGTATGGCTTATGTGGATATATCAATCATATGGGTTATTCTGATTGTAAGCGTAAGAATTGCCTTATACTTGACATAGAACCAACACAATTCATGAGGGCACACCCTCTCTAATTTTAACAATTACCCTCTGGTTATTTAACATAGCCATGGAAAATGGCCCATTTATAGATGGTTTACCTATTAAAAATGGTGATTTTCCATGGCTATGTTAGTCATAACCAGATGGTAACAATTAAGTTAAAACTGGCCATATCCAACTATGCATAGCCTCATCTTCCAAGTTCGACATCAGTCGCTTTGTGTCATTCATTTTACCCAACTTCCTGCTGATCGCCACATCCCATTCCATTAAGGGTCCCATTTAAAACTGCTTCGGCTTCATGTTCTATCTATCCCATTTATGTAAAAAACCGTGTGAAAGCACAGCATTTATCCCAGAGATCAAACATTTTTTTCTTAACTTAACAAACTAACCCCCAACACAAGCATCGCATCTCATCCTTCCCATCCTTCCCATCCTTCCCCTCCTTCCCCGTCGCCCGTCGCCTTCATCCAACGCGCCGGTGGTGCAAAAGTAAATCCAGGCGAACACCGCGGCAACTTCCAGCAACAGCGTCCAGTACTTCCTCAGGCGAACGAACCGATGGTTTGTGAGGGGATCCGGGGATAAATGTTTAATAAATATAATATATATATATATATATACATAACCAAGAATAAATATGAGTACAGTACATAACCAAGTATAGGACTTTGATATATTTGATATATGTATATATATATATATATACATGTGTGTGTGATGATATGTGTAGGGTTTGACAATGGGCGATTCAGCCTCAATTGGCATTGGCAATGTGAAATATCATGAGGATTCCCAGCAACGAGGCTGTTTTGACTTGCGCCGCTGACAGGCTGACAGCACTACTATGCTACCCATGATAGAAATTCACATCCTACTCTAGTGGCATTTTACTTTGCTATATTTGTTTGGGTATTCATAATTTCATTTATATATATATATGTATACATACATATTATATATATATACACTGTATATATATATATATATTATATCCCAAGCACGATCACATAAGAAACCAGTTACCAGGAGCAACTTCAGGATTCTCCAAGCACCAAGCATCCCCAAGCATCCAAAGCCAAACATCCCCAGTGGTTTATACCATCTGGTTATGACTAACATAGCCATGGAAAGATCCACCCATTTTTAAGCTCGGTAAACCATCTATAAATGGGCCATTTTCCATGGCGAACTGTTAGTCATAACCAGAGGGTATACTTAAAAATGCAACAATTGTCTGACTGAAAAGCTGGCCTGCGAGAATCACATGCAAATGAGTCAAACAAACTCAAACTTAAGGTTTCAAACATCATGTGGGAGGTGGATGTAGGTGGTAGATTTCTATTGTTCCCATGTTTGTCCCATTCCGAAGCATAATGTGACTCATATTACACTTGACTGCAGAAGATAGGACAGGCCCCTAGAAGGCGCCCCTCCTTGCAAGGCCCAGCGTCACCAAGTACACGGCAATCTTGCCTCAGTTTGACCCTTTCTGAACGAAACATGGGGCCATCCAAGGTTGTGTTAAAATAGATCTTTGTCGGCGTGAAAACACGATATCATGAAAGGTTCATAATTATGTATGATCATATGTACGGTCATATCACATATCAATGTGATACTGTCCCATATGATAATTTATAGTCTGTGGGATATGTATACACCACTTATGATATCACAAATCATGGTACCATGGTATTATTATACAATCGTGTTTCATAATATATAATTATATACATATTATATAGTTATATTACATCCACATTATATCAAATGCAAACATACAAAATCATACAAATATATCATTGCTCTTGAAGACTCTTCATGCCTAGCATTTGGAATCCTCAGGGTTCAGTCCGGTCACTGTTTTCGGCCCAAAATTTTCTTCACGACGTTGGGATCATGGAACATATGGAGCCGGGATCCAACTATGGCCCTACGGCCATGTGAACAATGGCTATGTTGGAAAAATCCCATTCCATTCCATCATTAATCATCATTAATCAACACTAATCATGAAAATCATCATCAATCATCATGAAATCTGGTTGGTGGTTGAGCCACCAACCCCATCAACCCCTCTGAAAAATGATGGAGTGAAAATCAGTTGGGATGATGAAATTCCCAATAGATGCAAAAATAAAAAATGTTCCAAACCACCAACCAGATCAGTTCGAAGCCAAACAAACATGACACCACCAGGCAGTATGAGTTGCTCAATGGGGGAGTATCCCACCACCCAATTGGTTGGAGAATCAACGTAGGTCAATCCCTGCAATCATACAGCCTGGACATTGAACTGAACCCGAGTATATCAGAGTAAAATTGTGCAATGCTTGTGCAATGGGGCCTCTGAATTCCAGCTTCAATGAAATGAATGTTTGGGGCCAAATCCTTTCGACCTTTTCGACCATCCTGCTAAACCAAGAGGCCATTCTTGTCCTTGGGAGAGTGGATTACAGCTGGAAACTTTGGAGCAGGGGAAAATAAGTTTCGGTGGCGAAAAAAAAAGGGGCACGACCATCCTCGTCATGGCGAACTGTTTCACTACCAGTACTGTAGCAACCGAAAAGTGAGACACTTCTCCATGCTCCAACGTTAATTATTGATTTCGGGAACATGACATCATGTTCTAACAAAGAAATACGAGGAAAAAAACACACAATACTGTAAAAAGTGGGTCTGGAATAATATGTCTGTCAAAATTTCTTGGTGGAAATGACAGCCCGGGATCATGCTGTGGTAAATCCCATAAAAAAAACTTTTTTTTTTTTGTTTGCCACCCAGAAATTCAACCATTGACCTCAGGGTCACGATCATCTGCCATGGTCAGCACATGTCAGCACATATTATACTGGTTGGTGGCTGACCTACCCCTCTGAAAAATGATGGAGTGAAAGTCAGTTGGGATGATGAAATTCCCAATATGATGGGAAACATAAAAGCCATGTTCCAAACCACCAACCAGTCATTAATCACCATTAACCAACATCATTAACCATTATTATCCATGATTAACCATCATCAAAAATTATCAGCTATCAAAATCTATCAAATGTTTGTGTTTGAAATGTTTAACTATATATATTAATATACTATATATATATTTATATGTATATGTGATATGGTCATCCATTGCACAAAAATCGTAATCCCATGATGCAATGGATCCATAAATCCCAAGGATTTCATAGATGACAGAACCTGAGAAAATCATCCAATGGCACTTGGGATACGGCGTATACAGCTGAGGCCGCAGCTGAAAAAATGTGTCCAATTTTTCGATGGTTCACACATATAAAACATGTCTATATAGAATATGTGTATACTACATACAATAGGATATGTATATATGTATGTATGTATATAAACCCGATTCGGTTCTGAGCTCAAATCATCTCAAATCCACATTTGGGTGGTTGATATCCCAATCTTGCAGGGTTGAGTTTGAGTCAGTTCGGTTACTTAAAATATCCAACAAAAAAAAACAAAAATATCTCTTTTAATCCACTGGTTCTGGTGGGAAGTTGGGTCACTTTCCACAGCCACCTGTCGAGCGACGTTGAAGGTGATGTCTTGCCCATAGCAATGGAAGCGGATGTAGTCCTTGCTACGGCGGCTATGTTGGCCCCCGGAAAGTCACCAAATCGACAAGTAAATCATCTACAGATCAAGAATCTAAATTGCCATGCTTGCCACATTTGGTAGTATCTCCATATTTGGTAGTATCATCTCTAACCACCAGGAGTTTTAAACATACCTTCCCAGTGTACATCAATAATGTCCAAAATTGGTAAAAATAGATGGGCCGGTGACTGGTTAATCCCATCAGTTGTTGGGGTAAACCTTCAACCCCCGAAAAATCAACCAGTGGGAATGGAAAGGCACATCTATGATTCGCCCTGCAACCACCATGTTTTTTTGTACAGAACCCAACAAGAGGTTCCTGCAAGGTGGTGCCCCCCTAGTACGTTATAACTTGGGTAACAAAAACCCCATGAAAACTAGTTCGATATATCACCCACAAAAACCAGTTCGTGACATTGGAGTTATGTGAACCCCAACTGAACGCGATTTCGTGGCCGGGGGCACCACCTTGTGTATCTTACACTCTTTGAGTGGTTTGGGCTGCGATGTTGCGAGGGTGATCACTCTGCAGTAGTGGAATCAAGACATGTCCCGAGAAAAAAATGCTACGCTACGAGCTGTCTCAGTCCATGAATTGCTACAGAACCTAAGACGTAATGTGGTAAACATATGTAAAGATATATAAACATGGTAAACCAAATAACAAACAATATCTTTTATCTTGCCATTTACCGGCTTGCAGCTTATGTTGGGCGCTGCTTAGCCTGGTTGCGTACCACAAATGTTCAGTTTTTGCTGCTGGAAAACTGACCAATTTTCAGGCCAATTTTCGCCCATACGATTAATCATTCATGATCAACAAGACTACCAAAGCCATCGAACATCTGTACTATGTAAGCCTTTCTGAAGATCACCCTCCATAATCATGACGAAACCTCTTCAGACCCGTGGGAAATCCCACAAATTTATTCAAATGTGCAGTTTTCCAGACTGATCCCGACTGCACCTGCATCCCTTCCACCATGGAGTAGACAGTCAGGGGCGCTGTGATGTAATATCCTCAGAGACGTGAAACGTGGGAATCCTTCTATGTAAGCTTGCTCTAGCCTAAAATACCGGAAACAAATGATACAGAGATACAAATCCCATAGGATCCATGTATGGTATATATGCTAACATTGGGGGTATATTGATGGGATCCATGTTACCATATATAGCATACATGGATCCCATGGGAATGTCAATTTTTACACATTGTGATTTTGAACTTCAGATGATCTCCTCGAAAATGCCTTGAAATCGATTTGGGGAAGGATCTGACCAGTTCAAAGCGGTGAACAAATTAGATGCGGTTTAGCATACAGAAACTCTTTGGACTCTTTGGTTGATGGAAAGCTAATGCTGAACATGTGGGAACTCGGGAACTCTACCCCTTGAAATGCTGTAGTTCCTTCCGGTCACCTCTGGGAATCTCTGATTTTCCGCGCACCTGAAGTAATCCCTCCAGTTCTGGTACTTTGAAGCTCATTGTAACATCTGCATGTACTGTCAACCCTGGACTTTCCATGGCAGTTTGTGTTTTGGGTACTTACTAAACATCACAATTTGCAGGTATCATAGGAGATTCTCAACTCTATAACTATCATTCTCACTATCAGATAATTTCTGATTAATCAAGCAATGTTTTATTGATCATTATCGCTATTATCACTATTATCACTATTGTCACGATTATCAATATTATCACTATAATCACTACTATCACTATTAATTATCAATCTTATCACTACTATCACTATCACTAGTATCACTTATAATATGCATATAATTATATATATTATAATCATTAATATGATGGTCATTGATAATCACTCTTCAAATCACTGCTGCACCATCCATGGGCACCTGCCGTCGCCAAGCACGCCAAGCAGCGTTGCGTCGATCTCCAGATGTTGTCGATGGTTAGCATGACCTCGGGTTGAGTTTCAGCGTTGATGACAGGGAAAATACCAGGCCTGGCGGCCGGGTAAAAAAATCACTGAAATATGGTGAATCACTGAAATATGTGTATACCGTAACTTATACATCGAGTACATTTTTATTTTTTTTGGGCAGGTGAGTACATTTTACCATAGCAACAAAAATAGAGTACTAAAGTATTGAACAAAGGTTGACCCAGGAAATTGGTTGTGTCTGAAAATTGGGTGCACCATGGTGTACCCAACAATAATATAAAAAAAATGATTTTGATCAGAGAAAATGAAAAGGGTGATTGGTCAATGGATTATTGTGTCTGAAAAAAATGGTGTACCCATAAAATGTATTTTTGTGTGTGGGACAATTTTTACATGAATCTGGGTAAATTATATTTCACTCATCTGAATTAAGGCCATTTGGGGATGATGTCCCTTACTAACCATGATTCCAGTGAGGTCGCAGTGAGGTCGCTATAATTTACGCAGAAACATGTATAAACAATCCAAATGTCATCTTTTCCGTCTTAACACTTATGACAGGAACTATTCTTTATGGGGCTTGGTCGCAACTCGGATTGCTGAGTTATTATATTCATTCAGATCTGATGGTTCATACCAACCTGTTGACCATGATTTATGGATTATCATTGCTATGAATGATCCTGAAGGACACTTTATAAACTGAATCTAGAAATCATTACCCTACATCATCCTACCTCATCCTCCATCATTCCACATCTCAATCACATTTGAAATAAATCCAATATAACCCAAGATAACCCAGTATAACGCAATCTAGATATCTTCAGTTCAACATTACATAACATGATTCTACATCCCAATCCTATTTCTTTTCCCAGCATAGCCTAGGCATAGCCTAGGCATAGCCTAGACACCACCTCGTTCGCCTCCATAGATGCTTCCAGAGAGTGGCGCATACAGCTGGCTCCGATCATGCCCCAATTCAACACCTAGCGGATGAAAAATCTGCTGTGTGTGGTAACCAGCACAACCCGGGCCCGACTTTTTGGGTGGAAAAGGAATGGCATGGAAGATTTTTTGGACCATCATCTCGTAATCCCAATCCTCAGTTGCCAAATCTTAATGGGGAAATGATGAAAATAATGTTTTTTTTGATTTTCCCACATTTTTCAGGTACCAACCATAGGAATTCTGTCGATTTTCCATCCCCAAACTACACTCATGTGGTTACCATACCTATAAACATGGTGACTGGGGGATAGTAAACATGACATTGTTTTACCCACAATGTGAGGCCCCCCAGTTATAAGTTGGTTTATAAGCCCCAGTAACTATAGTTATAAGTACCATCAACCATAGTTATTGGAGTTATAAACCAACTTAGCTATCGTGGGGGCCTCACATTGCACACTCAACAAACCTTTGGCTTTTGACATGTTTTCAACGGCCACTGCCCGTCTTTCGCATCGCCTGTAGAATCAGCGTGAAGATGAACATGCCAATGGGAGAGTAATGGAATTCGCCTCGAGTGACGCTTAAAAAGAGGAGCTGATCAGGCCAGAAATGCTGGAAAAAAACGTCTAACAACAGTACCTCCGGCAATTTTAGTCATATATTTCATAGGTATAACATTGTAAATAGTAAATAATGATGACGATAATAACAATTCTTGATGTGGTACCTCCTCATAACTGGTTGAATATGGGGGTACCCCATTTTCAGACACTTCTCAGCAGGACTCGATCGACCCAAAAGGTATATCGCAGAGTATCATAAGAGCCTTGAAAGATTCACTTCTGTTTCAATTGAGCACTGTTCAAACACTTCTGCAATTTCATTAAGACATGTTTAGTTAATTGACAATCTTCCATACATATCCATACCTTGGGTAGTATACCCCCTACAATCATCAATCAAACATAATTTATCGGTTACAACCACTAATATACATATATATGATTTCATATTACCTCATAGTTTGAGGATGCAAATCCATACATATAAAAAAGGATAATCATGAATCAACAGAGGTGTCTTTCAGCCACTGCTCACATAGAAATAGCCAAGTTGCGGCTGTCAAAGACGTTGTATAAATTAAAGCCTCGCATGGAGAGAGGGTTGACATTTGGGGGTTCCATAGTCATGGTAGCCCTTTGTCGCTGGTTATTTCATGGAAAATCCATCCATGGACCCATGGATGAGAACCGGATGTACTCAGATTTTAGGAAACCCATTTGGGCCACTAACAGTGGAACCAGTGGAACCCAGAATGATGTCATGGGTTTCTCCAAGCACCGGTTGACCCCGAAGCTGTTCTCAACCGGATTAGAATGATTAGAATGTTGTGGCAATGAACAAACTCCATGTCAAAGCGCAAAACAAATCAACACGCCCGAACTCAGAAGTGTCCAGAACTGGAACCCAGAAAGGCCCATGTTCCAAAAGCATCACCTCTTCCAAGTTCCCAAGTTCCTGATCCCTCCATCTGGCGAAAGGCTTGGGAGATTTGTCTCTGAAAAATGGTCATTTCATGTGGTGAAGTATGGTGAAGTCATGTAAAGTTCGCCATTGACAGAAGCCACATATATCATACAAAGTTATACAGTTATCTACTTGGTGGTTTCAACCAACCCCTCTGAAAAATATGAGTTCGTCAGTTGGGATGATGATTATTCCCAATATATGGAAAGTCATAAAAGCCATGTTCCAAACCACCAATCAGTTATACATCTCAATTCCAGCATGCCTCTGGGTAAATAATAAGCGCACAAAATAACCTGAAATAGGGCTACCCTCTGGTAAATTAACATAGACCCTGAAAATATCTGAAAATGACCAATTTAGAGTGGTTTCACTAGTCTTCCGACCCCTATCTCGCAGGGTCTATGTTAATTTACCGGATGGTATATTTGGGATAATTCGGCTAATTACCCTCTGGTAAACTAACATAACTATGGAACATCACCATTTTCAATGGGTAAATCCACTATAAATGGCCATTTTCAATAGCTATGTTAGTCATTATCAGAGGGTAACCATCATTACAGTGACGTCGCAGCGAGGTCGTTGTAGTTCATCCAAGTAATTCCTTCCCCCCGATAAAGCCACACCTCCTAGAAACCATGGTTTTTTGTAGGGCATTTATAAACATTAAACACCATGATTCATGCCCTACTAAACCCATTATTAACATTAAACACCCATGTTTAGTAGAAACCATGGTATTTGCGACAGCATGGGGGTGTGTTTCTCATGGTGTGAATCATGTTGGGGCACGCGGGCTTCGTCCCCAACCAAAAAAATATCCCAACATTAGATGTTTAGATCCCCATTGAAACCCAGCTCATGGATAATTCGTCATCATCCCCAATTGTCGATATAAGGCCCGAAATCATCATCAACAGGGCTTTTGAACATCAAAATCTATAAATATCTAGAAATGGGGATATTGTATGATATTGTGAGAGTCCCCCAGTATACAAGATGGTACCATCTCCGAACTCATCATGAAAACAGGGGTGTCAGTCCCGCAGCCACTTCTCATTTAAAACCATCCCCACAATCTCCATTGAAGGGTGGAAAAAAACACATATAAACCATCCCCTGACATGAGATTGAAGGATAAGTTTATATAGGTTTATTGGGTTTAGGGTTTCCCAGTAAATCATAGTAAATCTCTACTAAAACTACTACTCTCACCGTGTTTTTTTTTTAAACACTTTCTTCCTCGGAAAGTTGGGGCCAGATCTCCAAGCAGCCGATCCAAAATAAAGGCATCCAGGCCCAAAGAAAATGCCTGGGATGGGCCGCCATCCATGGATACACCGGTACCGGGTACCTACCGGGCCATCCTTGGACCATCCCGGTGGTGCTATTGGGTTGGCTGGGTTGGCTTAGTAATTTGTTAACCATTAGCCAACATCATTAACTATTAATATCCATCATTAACCATCATTAACCATCATTAATCACCATTGGCTTAGTAATTCTTCAAACTCCAGTTTTAAATGGGAGAAGTCCACCTAGAGGACGATGGACTTAACATATTCAAACTCTGCACACTATGTTAAGAACCCCTGCACCCCCAAATCTCAATGTTTCGGCGCACGTGTTGGCAAAAGTGATGAACAGGGGGGTTGATTTCAAAAAGTCCATTGGGGCATATTGGGGCTAATGCACCTCACATTAACATTAAACTTTGGGGGCGAGGGTGTATCGGATAGAAAGGGTTTGAATATTTCGTCCATCTACGGTATGACCGGTTAACTATCCTCCAAGGGTTAGTCAGTTAGTCACCACCTACCAGGATTATCCTCCAAGCATGGCTATGGGTCCCCAAAAATGTCAATTTTCATGATATGTGGGATCCAGAAAAAAAACGCCTTTCACATGCAGGATATTTACACAAATTCGACTTGACTCAAAGATGTAGTCGACTTAGTGGTGAAATAGTGGTGAATAACCCTCATAGTAAGTCTGGTTGGTGGTTTCAAACAACCCCTCTGAAAAATGATGGAGTCAGTTATAGACAGTTGGGATGATGAAATTCCCAATATGATGGGAAAGTCATAATCCAGCCATGTTCCAGTCACCACCAATCAGTTTTCCTCATCACCATTAACCAACATCATTCACAATTATTATCCATGATTAATCATCATTAACCATTATCAGCTATCAAATTTATCAAATGTTTGTGTTTGAAATGTTTTTGTTATCAGTCATAGTAAGTCCACTTTCTTCGTGGTCGATCCCCGTTCACTAACCTGCAGAAACACGAAGCACCAGTTTAACCCAGTTCCGAGGACCATCTGGAGACCCTCCGGTGCCTACCCATGGATAGTGATAGTGAATCATTTGGTTTAATCTTACAGTAAGTGACTAGTTTCTTCGTAAAATATTCGTGGAATATAATATATATATAACTTTTGATAACTTATAGATGTTTTTGTCTCAAGTTGATTATAGCAAATAAACTATGCAACTTTTGTTTACCGTCGATGCCACATTTATTGAGCCGTAACGGCGACACAACCCGAAATATTTCGCCCAGCCACGTGAGATTGCAGACCAAGATCAGTAAGCGACCCCACCAGCGCATCTCATCCTGGGTTGCGACGACGGGGAAAGTAACTGACATCTGCTGTGGAAGTTGTCATCATATCTACTTTGTAACAACCAGTCGCCATGATATCCATGAATCATGATGTGGATTATATCTAATTATATCTAGTTATATCTAATTATATCTAATTATATCTAATTATATCTAATTATATCTAATTATATCTAATTATATCTAATTATGTCTAATTATGTCTAATTATATCTAATTGGGAGGGGACTGTTGTGGCCGCCTCTTTTTTAACTATTGTTGTCAAGTTTTTAATTAACCATGAACTATTTCACTGGGAAACCTACACAAAAAAGTCATGAATAACTCTTGAACCATTGTTTAGCCAAATGTCTTGCAATTTTATTTGGTAAGTTCCAGGCAGTCTTGACAAATGTCATGGGACACATATGAAATTATTTCGTGAGAAACATTATTTGCAGCCTTTACCAAGTTTTGAAAAGGATCTGAAACTTTAGCAGCAATGGCCCTCAGGTTCATTTCATCAAAGTATCTTTGGTTCAGTTAGTGGTCTGCCTAAAAGGTCTTGCATGTGTATATATACTTTTTCTTTCTAAGTTGTCATCCTTGAAAATCACAAATTTTCTTGCAGCAGCAGTTCAAAATCTCAAGCTTTCAGCTTTCCAGGCATGTCAAAATCATTCAAAATCTGTAGATTTTTGGTATGCAGTTTATATGCAGTTTATATGTAGTTTATATGCAGTTTATATGCAGTTTTCAAAACTGCATATAAACTACATGTAGTTTGGTCAAAACTGCATATAAACTACATGTAGTTGTTTTGAAACTGCATATAAACTGCATATAAACTTCATATAAAATTTATATGAAAATTCAAGGGCTGACATGTGGTTTTTAAGGATTTTGATTATACATTTGGACTTGATTCCACTGATTCCCAAACCTTTGGACACCAATATGGACATATAAAATTCATAGTGTGATGCAATCAAAACGGGTGAAGGATCAAAAAAAAATTATTGGGATCAAAAAAAAATATTATTTAGGGATCAAAAAAAATTATTATGGGGATCAAAAAAATATTATTAGGATTCATACTAATAGTAATAATAATGATAATAGTAATAGCAGTAGTAGTAGTAATAATAGTAGTAGTAGTAGTAGTAGTAATAGTAGTAGTAAAAATAAAAATACTAATAGTAATAATAATACTAATAATAATAACAATAATAGATAATAATAATAGTAGTAATAATAATAATAATAATAGAAATGATAGTAGTAGTAGTAGTAGTAGTAGTAGTAGTAGTAGTAGTAGTAGTAGTAGTAGTAGTAGTAGTACTAGTAGTAGTAGTAGTAGTAGTAGTACTAGTAGTAGTAGTAGTAGTAGTACTAGTAGTAGTAGTAGTAGTAGTAGTAGTAGTAGTAGTAGTAGTAGTAGTACTAGTAGTACTAGTAGTACTAGTAGTAGTAGTAGTAGTAGTAGTAGTAGCAGTAAAAATAATAGCAGTAGTAGTACTAATAGTAATAGTAGTAGTAGTAATAGTAGTCGTAATAATAGTAGTAGTAGTGGTAGTAGTAGTAGTAGTAGTTGTTGTTGTTGTTGTAGTTGTTGTTGTTGTTGTTGTCGGCAACGCATGAGAGCACAGCAAATACTTTGATTTTTTGATTTTCGTTGAATGTTGAGACAGACGCCAGACGGTAACAGCGGCCAACGGACTTTTTCAGATCAAAGCGTATGCGCCCAAGCGCACATAGCTCTGCTTCCGTCGCTCGAGATTCGCCTGGTTGGGTTGCAATCAGAGAGCGCAAACCAAAGTTACATGTGACAGATGATGACGCAAGTCTTGTGGCTATGCTACGGCGCACCTCTGCTGCCTGCACGTCGCTTTGCAGCTCAGCAGATTGCAGGCGAACCTCTGCGTCTGACTCCATGTCCTAGCAGGAACGGAGATGTTGTGTGAGGCTGGTGGGATCAAGTGGCCTCAGATGGGATCCGTCTGCAAAGCAGCAGACAGACCTTGCCTCTTCCTCTCCGGCTTCCTGACCGGCAAGGTAATGGCAGTGGGAATTGTGGTGGACGCTTTGCATGTGGGAAATGTGCGCAGAGCAGCGGGCCTCTTCCACCCCGTCTTCCTGACATGGCAGTTTGACGGTGGCAGTGTGAACTTGGGAAATGAAACGCTAAGACGTCTCCGCGGCCTGGTGCGTTTCCTCCTCTGCTTCCATTACCTGACAGCATGCGGACGGACACGCAACGACGACTCCATGTCCAAGAAAACAGCAGCTGCGAACCTCACGATCATCCGCTCCTTCCTCGCCAGCCTGACAGCAGCATGGATGAGAAGCAGCTGTATACAACTAATTGAAAGCCACGCAAATGGTACGACCCTGCCTCCGAAATGCCATCATCTGCTCCGGACTCCACCTCGACAAGGCCACGTTAGTTCTCTAGCATTGTCGAACATATTTTTCTTGAGGTGATTACAGGCAGACCTTGAACTACAGCTCGGGCAGGCAATTTGAAAGCCTGGTCGCAATCATCCGCTCCTTCCTCGTCAACCTGACAGCAGCATGAACGAGAAGGAAGTATTATGGAAAATCGCGTAAATGATAAATCCGTGCCTCCGACGCGCGATCATCTGATAGGGACTCAACCTCGACAAAGCCAAGTTAGTATCCTAGCATTATCTGTGATATTTTCTTGCAATTAGACCTTGAACTAAGTGCCGGACACGCTGTTTGCAAGCCCGAAGTATTTGTGACGCAGGTCCGCCCCCAATATCGGGAAAATATGCTTTCATGGCGGCCAAGTCCCACGAAGCAAGGATGGAAATGTTGACCTGTTCTTTGAAGAACGATGGCCAGAAAGAGGCAAACCCAAGTTCGGTCAACAAAGATTTAAGTCCATCTGATGGCGCAGAAGGTCCTGCAGGAGCAGACGCGCTGCTGCGGGCCCGCTTTTGGGTTGGACGCAGAATGGATGGGACTTGTTGCCTCTTCTTTTTTGGGTTGCCAAGGACAGGCATTTCAGCCCGATCCATGCAGATGTGACCGCTATGTAGCCACGCAGCGTGAACGTGCTCGCAAGACCCATGAATGGCAAAGGTTGTACACCCAAAGCACGCAACTTGACGGTACGACGGCGCCCGGCCATCAGCAACTTGAACATGCCAGAACTGCTCAGCCACTTGTCCTTGCAACACAAGCACATGGTTGGAAAGGATGCGACGCAAAGGTTCCAAATCCAAAGAGCCGTCCGCAGTACAACCAAGGAGTCTCAAAGGAACAAACAAGGACGGGTCATCCCGGGCCAGATACAACGATCGAAGATGCTGCGACAAGCCAGCCGCAGGCTTCATCACTTTGTTGTCAGTAGCAGCAATCCATTTGTCCCTTTGTTTGTCATACTGTGCCAATGTTTTGCGCATGCAATACCACACACCTCCAAGCTCGTCAGCAAAAACTTCAGAGGCAGCAGTCCGGTGATACTGCATGGCGGAGGAACGGCCTAATTTGGTCAAGGCATCCGAGTCGTAGAGGACGAACTTGTCAGGGAAAGGCTCCACAGGCATATCTGGAAGCTCCGGACCTTGCAGCCGTAGCTGATCCAAGCGGGATGATGTGAATGATTCCAACGATTTCAGAAATGTTGGGAGATCTTGTCGCAAATGCCGGATATGCTTTTTGAGCTTGTGACGATGCCACGACTCCTGGGCTTGTGTTCCCGACGCCGAGCCTGGCTGAAGGCGGCAAAGTCCAGCCCACCAATCAGCCAGAGTCAGGCACTCGTGGTGTCGGATCCGGAATGACGCAGCTGGAACGGAAGTGAGGTAGTGTTGCCGCATAGCCCGTGCGCAAGCAACTTCATTGGCCTCTTGCATTTTTTCTAAGATCCTTTCAACAACAGCATGAAACAACAAAGCAGACGGACAGGCCCGAAGAGCATACACCCATGTAACCAAATAACTGACCCAAGTCTTGTCCAAAGCATGCTTGCGCATGGTTTGAGGGAAGCCGGCCCGATAGGCCTGAATGGTCTCATCTCGAACAGGCCTCTGACGCGGCCGCACACAAGCTCCCATGAAATGCGCGAAGTCAGCAACCCGCATTGAGTCAGGGAAGCATTCTTTCCGGGCAGCATCCTCACCTGTGTGCCAATCACTGTGATACTGAACGACTCGAGGTGCTAAATCCAAGTCCATGCACTCTCGAGCGCAAGCTTTCCCAGCATCAAACAGCGCCTTGTATGTTTGCTTCGCCTCTTTGTTGACAACGGCAAACAGCAAAGGCCAATAACTCGATCGGAACGCATATGTTCCGTTGACAGGGGCATAGTGGCGAGCCAAAACACCAAGATTCAACAGAACCCATCCATCTTCCATGAGACGGAAAGTCCCATCACCGCATAGCTTCAGGTAAGCTTTGTTACTGAGGCGACCAAGCGTTTCCACAAACAGAGCTGGATTGACAAAGACAACGGAAGTGCTGTTCGGAGACAAATCATGCGACACAACAGCCAATCGGTTGGGGATTGCCTGCACAACGGACGACAAGGAGGGAACAGAGCGAAGCAATTGGTGCCAATCGAAGACCCGCCACGTGCGGTGGGAGACTTTGGGCCCTGTGTTGACTCTATGGTTTTTTCGCCACACTAGCAGAAACTTTTCATCTATTGGTCTTTCTGGCTGGTGCTTCTCGACAATGCTCAAGAGGTCTTGCGTGAACACATTTCGGTTGTGTTTCATATGTTCTTTTAAAGCGTGTTCGGTCTGGGCAGTCAATTCATTCCACTTGTGCACTTGGTCAAAGCTGCCATGGGCATTGCTGGGCGTGTAGCAGCGAGAAAGAGTGCGATCAACAAGATTGTATGTGCAATATGCGCTCCAACCTCCTCGAGTAGCACACTTAGTGCAACTGTTGCACCACAAGAACAGCTTGTATCCTTTGTTGTAATCATACCATTGGTGGCGAACAGCGATGCGGCGATCAGGGAGGAGCGTCGCCGCCCAATCTTTCTGAGCAGCTAAAAATTCAGGCCTCCCGCCAAAACCTTGCTCCAAGACAGTGTTCGGAGTTTCCAAGCTTCTTTCAGGCGCGGCAGCTTTGCGAGGGCGGCCAACACGTTTTGGGGCTGGTTCTGCCTTGGCTTTCGCTTTGGGCTGCGCAGGTCCCCGCCCGCGACCTTTGGCGCCACCACGCATGATTGGAAAGGAGCCATGGCATGTGTGGGGGAGAACACCTGTGTCAGAAACAACGACCAAACCAGCACCTAAGCGATGAAATTCGACAGAGGCCACCAAGCCTGCAGCACCTGCCATGGGTTTAGGTCGGCCATGCGTGCCTTTCGCAGTGTATATGGACTCGACCATGTACTGACCCGGCTTGCATGTGGCAGTACCTCGCCAGGAGCATGTTCCATGTTGGCACAAAGCGCACCGCAACTGGAAGGCATGGCCTTTTTTCCTGCTTACAGGGGTACACTTCACCTGGAACGGTTTCCCATGCACTCGTTCTGGATTGTTTTGCAACGCCGCGTTCAAAGCCTGTTCAACGGCTATGCTGGTGAGTGGGTCCACGGCCACATGTACAGGAGGAACCAACTCTTTTTTCTCTAATTTTTTTTTGCGGCCTGCATCCTTTTCTTCTGCAGGAGGGTTTTCATCTGCTTCTTGGGCTCTTCTAGCACGCTTTCCAGCACCAGCCATTGGAGGGCATTCAGCAGCAGCGGTGGAAGGCCTGGAAAGTTGCAAATTCAAGCGCTGGCGGAAAGTTGAGTCGATATTTGGTAAAGTCAACCGCAAACGCAAAGCTGCACCAGGGCTACCTTCCCGAACGCCAGCATGGTGTTGGGCTGCAATATCAAACAGACGGCAAATTGCCTGCTGATCAGAGCGAAATCCAAGGCGACGAGGCAAGATTTGGTTGGCGTTCTTGACGTTGATGTGGGATTGTTCCTGGCATCGCTGGAGAAGAATGCCTAAAGCCTCCTCGTCGGCATTCTGGGGCGGAGGTTCGCTGAGTTCCTGCGGTGGCTTCTGTTGGCGATGCGGGCGAGGCCGGTTTTCGTCTAAGGCTGGAGGGCCTGCCCGTTCGCTTTGTGGCAATTTCATCTCATTGAAGCAAGTTAAGATGCCGGTGACCATGAGATGAAGATGTTCCGGGGCAGCAAGGATGAGTTCTGGCGACAAGGGTTGGATTGATTCTGGCCAGCAAAGAACCGGCGCCACAGGTGCTGACTGCGAAGTGGGATCACGAAGGCAATCCAAATCGGCCCGGCCATCCTTGATGTCGAGGAAGGCCTGTTGCAACAAATGGCAGGCGGCAATGTGGGAAGTGGTTGTAAAGCAGTGCTTGCCCACAGCCCCAGCTGCGCAAGAAGGAACCGTGTCTTTATCTTTCTCAGCTTGGTGTCGGAACTTGGACCACATGGCAGCTGCAGGATCACTTACTGGGATTGGAGCAGACTCGAAACTCATCAAATCTAAAGTTTGGCCATAGGACATGCAAAGCCGAGCAAAAATATCGAGCAGGAATCTCGCAGCACCGCTGAATGTTACGTGTGGATTTTCAGGGTCATCTTCTGGTTGATCCCTGGGCCACAAGAAAGTTGGCCTGAATTCCCACCCCATGCCTCCAAAGGGACAATCCTTCATGAAAGCTTGGCCCCAGTAGTCATGCACAACTTTGGGCTGACCACCTAGAGGATCCAACGTCGCGCTTTGGACACCATTTGCTGCAAACGGCATGTTCCATATACATGGCGGCGCGCTTTGTAGAAACGTCGTCGTTTGCATTACAAAGCGCACGTTTTCGCAACAAGGCGCACGTTTTTCGCGCCAAAGCGCACGTTCGAAAAACAAACGAGGCGGACGGCGCCGTTTGTAGAAACGACGTCCAAAGCACACGTTTGGAGCCTCTAGGCAGCATGAAAGAAAGCAAAGTTCGTGGTGGGGACGAAAAATTGCTCTGCATTAATACTCATTGGGCCATACGAGTTTCCATTTTGAGTATTTTGCAAAAAGGAATGCTGCACTTTGCGATCACTGTGAGCGACTCGACCTTTTCCCTTTGCCCAAGCAATATCCAAGGCACCCCAAGCCTCCTCAGACACCCAACATAAATGGCCGTGGCTTGCTTTCATGCGGCGAGCAAAGTCGCTGTTCGTGCATTGCTGCACAAACAGCGTTTTGTCTTTACCAGGTCCGGGGCTGACGAATTTGTCAGGAAAGGTGTCCACGAGGCAAGGACGCGAAGGACAATGACTGACGAAAACTGCGTCCACGAGCTGCCGAAAAAATGGCGATTTGCTGCAATTGCTTTCTGCCACCAAAAGGGCGAATAAGCGAGGCCGCACCTCGTGCTCCGGCTTGAGGGGGTTGAAGCAGATGTGGAGCGAGCGGTGGCAAAGCCAGGGGGCGATAGTCAAAGCAAATCCAGCTGGAAATTCCCTGGCTATGCCAGCTCTTTCTGCAAAGATGGACAGCACGGCTAGAAAGAATGGAAGCAGCTTCATGACATTCAGTTGGCTGTTCCACGCATCTTTGATGGTGCCTTGGAAAGTCACGCTGTCAGCGGCCCGTTGTCGCCAAAGTTCCAGCTCATGATCGAAGAGCAAGCCCAAAGACAAGGAGAAGTGATGTGGCTGGACAGGCCAGTCACGAGGCAAAGCGTGGAACAAAGCAGCTAATGCGCGCGTATCCCTTGGATTAAGTTGTTGATGTTGCGAATAAAGCGTGGCAACTGTGGTTTCTAACACTTGGCGCCTTGCACGCCAAAATTCAGCCACTCGATCTTCAACCGGCAGCAATACCGGCGGCGAGGGCACCAATAGCTGTGATGAAGGCAGGACGGGCGACCTAGACCGGCCTCGCCTGGGAGAACACACGAGGCGGCATGCCTCGGCGATAGCACGAGGCATATCGCCGGGGAATCTTTCCAGCGCTTGTTTTGCCACTGCACGAGGAATCTCAACGGGGCACTGTTGCTGCAGGGACTCAATGTCTGACTGTGGCAGGCTTTGCATCTCGACATCGCTGTCACTGTCGAGGGTTAGCGGCACGGATCCTGAAGTTGCACGAAGACTCTGGAACCGATCTCTTCCAGCACCGCGCATATCTGGCAATGGATTGGAAGGTAGCCATTTTGGGAAAAAAGGCAATGGGCTTTGCTTTGGCACGCTTGCAAGCTCAGCGTGGGCAGGCGGCGAGACAAAATCCACACAAGGAGCAGACACGAAGAGTGAACTAGAAGCCGAGGCATGCAAACTGCCTTCGCCCGACGAATTGGCTATCTGAATCAATGTATCTCTTTCTTGTGACATGGAAGGAGACTGAGAAACCCTACACCGAGGGTGTAAGCACTCTGACAAAGAGAATGACGCGCACAAGTCACAGTCACTCACGCCTGCCGCTGGCCTAGACGAAGGTGTCAGTGAAGCAGGCGACAAGGCTGGGGACAACGAGAAAGCCGGCCTCAGCGGGTCGAGCCAAGTAGCAGGAACCGACAAATCCAAACTAAATGGCAGTGTGGGGGACGGCGTGGTCATCTCTTTCATTGGCAACGGACTTGACAACTGGGGCGACCGTGGCTGAATGGAGGGCTGCCATGGAAGAGGTGTCAACGGAGCCGAACTGGAAGCAACAGCACCATTGACATCTGAAGAAGTATGCAATGGCTCTGTCTGGTCGATGTAACCGCAAACACAAACCCCATAAACACCAACACAGGAACATCCATGCAACCAGGCCGACGGTACAGAAACTTGCCGCAAGCACAAGCATTCCAACAAACCAAACATACGGCAAACCTCGCAAGGGTTTTGACCCAATGGAGAGGAAGATACGTGGGAAGCAGCAAGTGAATCCCCAGACAAAGAATCTAGCCATGTAACAGGGACATCAGGGACATCCAAATCCAGATCGACAGAACTTGGGGAGCACGACAGGCATTCATGTGGATGAGGTGTTTGCAGTTGGGACGGTGAAAAAGATTTGAACGACTGCCATGGGAGCGGCGATGCATCTGGAGACAATGACAGCTCGGAAGAAAGCGGTTGGTGACTTGGAACAGAAGAACCACAAAATGGCGGCGACCCGGGAACGGGCTCCGCAAGCTGCCAAGCTGAATTGCTAGTGTCTGAACTTAAGTCGATACACTGCAGCGAACCACTTGGAACCAAAGAGGCAAAACATTGCCGGGACCCGGGCACTTGCTCTGCAAGGTGTTCAGAGCTGCTACTTGGCGACCTTAAATCAACACAGTGTGGCATGGGAACAGAAGCAGACTGGCAAGGCAATGCTGCGACATCACCACGCGGCTCCCAGCTGTCCAAATCAATAAGATTAATAGACCTGTCAAAGCGCAGTCTGAAAGCCCCGCCAGCCATGTGAAGCAGCGAAGAAGTAGAAACAGGGCATGATACTGGATTGACAGCAGATGAACTCAAACAAAAGTTCACGCGCGGACAATTCGCGCGCACGGAGTCAAAAGGTGGCGCCTTCAAGACTTGGCATGCCTCATAATGGCCGACGCTTACATTCTTACTGGCGGTTAAGCGGGAATAAGGGAATACAAAAACTATGCCCCATGGCAAGTTCCAAGTGCTTGATGATGTGGTTCAATGTTTACACCAGTGTCTCTGGTTAAAAATATCCATTTGTGATGATGAGTTGGTTGGAGAATGGAATTGTACTATTTAATTATGACATGATCAAAATAAAAAATGAAAGGCCAGTTGCCTCAGTTAAATAAGATCTAGACCAAATGTATTTAAATGTGGACTAATTAGTAATATTAATAGATCAATTGTATCAAATTATTGCCCTTAAAATTAATGGATCATGTTGCATTGCCCCATGCTGAAGAAGCATCATCAATCACATGCATTGCCCCATGCTGCAGAAGCATAACATGCATTTTCCCATGCTGAAGAAGCATCATCACATGCATTGCCCCATGCTGCAGAAGCATAACATGCATTTTCCCATGCTGAAGAAGCATCACATGCACTGAAAATTGCCCAAATCAGATGCCAGTGAAGCATCCATGCTAAAGAAACAACCATTCTTGGAAACATCCATGCTGTTTTTTTTTGGAATCTTTAATGATATTTTGGCCAGGATCAAAATTCATGGCAATTCGAACAGCCAAGATCAGTGTGCTAAGGTGGCACTGACGCATCTGTTCAGAATGAGGAAGATTGCAAAAAGCGGCCAGCTAGCTGGCCACATGCCAGCTTGCTGGCAACTGAAACAACCCCAAAACGGCTAAGAGGCCAGCTAGCTGGCAAGAGTAAGACATAATATGAAACAAAATATGAAACAACAAACTGGCCAAACACCGTAAGGGTCTTTTGGCCAGTTTGTTGTCTATATTTTGCATTTAATTTATTACAAGACATTGACTGGCCAGCTCACTTGCCAAAGGCCCTTTCTTTACATGCATGGCGACGGGTGATGCCCACAGTGAGTGTCAGTGCGCTGCTTCTTGGGCTCAATTTGATTTGCGTCAATTTCAATCGGAGGTCGAAGGGAGCCCCGACCGTCGGCGAATGATCTTCCGCATGGCCTCTTCCAAGTCTATGCTTGAGAGCCACTTCTGAGTTGAGGCTGAAAAGAAGCGAAAATAGTTTGAAAAACGTCGGTCAAACAAAATCAAACCTCAGTCAGTGAACAGCAATAACATCCAAGCCGCGGAGTTGTTCCTCAAATAGTTGTACTTCGCCTTGAGAAGCTCCAGCGGCATCCTGTGCAAGAGGCGTTTTTGAACCATCATCGGGCATGGCGCTGGCTTCTCCTTGGCTCGCGTCCATTGTCCCATTTTGCTGGCTTGGATGGTTTTCGCAGTCACAGAAGGGGGCGGTGGTCGCATCATTCCCATGGATACAAATGAGGCTCTTGACAATGGACGACGTTTGGCCTGGGAAATTTTGCGGCAGTCAAGTGTAAGTTTCAGTCAAGCCAGCTGGCAGCGCACATTTATGATCAGCCAGCAATCTGGCCATGCAAAAAAACACTTTATCAGTCGCGGTGCTTCGCCATTGGAAGAACAAATTTGAAGGACCAGCAAGCTGGCCATTTCAACACCAGCAAGCTGGCCATTTCAGGACCAGCAAGCTAGCCAATTCAGGTTATCATTTCAAAATTTCAATCGGTGACAATCATTTTCACCATTTGATTCCAGGCACTGGTAGTCAGTCCATTCCTGACCAGCAGTGGTCTTACCACTGGTCGTTGCTAAAGAGGGTTGTGTTTCCAGACCTTCAAGTCTGTCTGGAAAAGGCCAAGCATGCACCACCCATAGATGTCGTCCGCAGATGCATACAGGACTGCCGTGAGCAACACGGATCTGCCGGCGGAGTCCCACACCTCAACTCATCGATGATATTGTTTCGCAAGTTGACCTGGATAAAAACCAAAGCTCATTGTGTACATAGAGTGGACATTTGATGATATCAGTTACTATTTTTAAGTTTGAAGGCAAGAAACGCCACGGAAAAAAACCTTCTCCAACGTAGGCAACATCTCGAAGATCATGGATGTGCACAGTGCCACCCGCTTGTACTGCCTCAGATCAACCCAGAAAAAATGTTCAAAATCAATGGCAAAAAACTGCCTGGGCACGGAACCATGTTCTAAATGCAAACTGATAGTACCGTCATCAACCAGCAAGCTGAAACAACCAAACAGTTTCAACCAGCAAGCTGGTCCAATCATCAACCAGCAAGCTGGTCCAATCAACTAGCAAGCTGGTTCAATCATCAACCAGCAAGCTGGTCCAATCATCAACTAGCAAGCTGGTTCAATCATCAACCAGCAAGCTGGCTGGCTGGGTCAATCATCAACCAGCAAGCTCGTCCAATCATCAACCAGCAAGCTGGTCCAATCATCAACTAAGCTGGTTCAATCATCAACCAGCAAGCTCGCTGGGTCAATCATCAACCAGCAAGCTGGTCCAATCATCAACCAGCAGCTGGTCCAATCATCAACCAGCAAGCTGGTTCAAAGCTGGACTACTTTACTTGAATCGAACAAGTTGCAACAGCACATCTTCCGATTCACCATTGGTGATGGCATCCTTCAGGGCGAACAAGTAGGTATGCTCTGGCTCTTCAGGGGCGACTCGGCGCAGGTTGCCCTTCGACACCGAGAGGTCTTCCGCAACAGCAATGACAGTCGGGCGGTCAAAGAGAGCCGGTCCGTCTTTGAAGATCTTGGACTGCAGCCTTTTGACGGAATCCCTGTTGATTGGCACCTTTGGCGCTGCGCTCCACTAAGACCTCAAAATGAAGATATTTTTACTTTAGGCACTTAATGAAGATATTAGTAGTTATATGAACTTATCATAGAAGTGATTTTTACCTATTTTCACTGATTTTCACTTATTTTGCTTACTTTTTTATGTTTTTTGTAATGAGACTAGCATTGATTATAGACGAGAGTTTTTTCGTCATATACTTTTTGAAAAGAGTTTTTTGCGTCAAATACATCTTTTTTTTCTTCATGGTGATTATTGTTCTTTTTAGGGTTCATCCTGTTCAGGAGTTATCCTTTTCAGGAATTATCCTTTTCAGGAACTACTCTATTCAGAATGAATCCTTTTCAGGAACTATCCCTTTCAGGAATTTTCCCTCTCACTGCGGCACAGAAGAAGCATAATCTGGTTGCCATCATTGAGGCGCAGAAGAAGGAAAAACAATCTGAAGGATGCTTCTTGAACAGAACTTTTACGAGTTTGGAAAGTAATTGCACCAAAAAAAATAGTTCAAAGCGACCGACTACAAAATTCCTAGCAGCAAAAAACTTTTGATGCTCGAGAGTTCGATCAATCTAAACTTATAAATGTTGTATATTTCTCCATGTATTTTTATTTCAAAGACGTTTTTATTTTTTCGGATTATCAGCTTAGACAGTGAAATTTCAGGAAACACATATTTTTTTTAATGACATTTCCATCTCTTTGCAAATTTTAAGTTTTTAAAAATATAGATAACATATTTCATTTTTTAAATTATGTTGGAACTTAATATAGTTCACTTCCTGCAATTCCTTCCCTTTGTATGGAAA